TGCAGTCGGCATCATCAGTGAGTTTTGCCATTCGTAGCACCATATTATAATTCTTCAAAGAGACAAGTGAAGCCGATCCTTTGACCAAACGTGTGCTAAACAGTTATGATATCTCCCCTTCTGCCCTGGCCTGTTCACATTTCCTATATCCCCCAATCACGCCTTCACTGTCACAATACTTTACTTGCTTAATTAAATGTGGTACGGTGTGCCCTTTTTAGCGGCAGGAGCAAGAGAGAGACTGGGATAAGGCTAGGAAGGAGGACTGCATAATAATAAAGCAGACTCGGATCAACATTCTCTGCACAAGGATGAAGGGTGGGGTGATAACGACAGTTGGAGTGTGAAGGTTTCATGTTGCTCAAAGTAGCACACCACACTATATCTAAATAAATACAGTAAAAATTGTAATAGTGAGGGCATTATAAGATGATACAGGAAACGCTAATCACCCAGGGCAGAAGGGGAGATACTACAATTGTTTAGCACACGTTTAGTCAAAGGACCGGCTTCACTTGTTGATTTGACGAGTTGTTGTATACTGCTAAGAATGGCTATACTCACTGACGATACAGGCGAAACGTTTGGGAATGTACCACGTCCACGGTTTGACTTTGGAAATGATCATGCAGACAATGGACTCCGGACTAGGTGCGTCCCTCTAAGTCTTCCTACCAATATGACCATGTTGCGAAAACAAGGTCAAACAACCTCTATGTTATTTTATCTTTGTTAATTTACTACTACTCTGAGTCATTTGATTACAAATTCGAAAGTAACCGCCAAATATCATGTTACATTATCACCATATCTAATTAAAATGCTCAGAGTACGCTTTTGCCAAGTGTGCAAAATGAAAACAGTAAGATATATGCAAATCTTAAGAGATTTTGATTGGAATATCATTAATTTTATATCGCCAACCATTGTAATGCGGTACCATTGAGATATTAGTCATCGCACTTATTTTATTGTTCCAGAGTAATGTAATACTGAGTTATACTTTTTGTACACAACGTAAGTACGGATAAAATTCTTCTCATGTCTTTTCAACGATAATTCGAAATATACTCACAATTAATCAAATATATGAAGAGCAAGATGGTGTGGCCTTTGGTATGGTTGCAGTCTCCTTTAAATGTGTGAAAGTGGGCTGACCTCGTTTTTACAACTTGGTTGTGTTGTCAAGGCGACTTAGTTGGATGTACTTTATCCTAAGTCCTCTGCCTTAGTAGTTGACATAATTATCAGTGTCGGATCGTTGGTACACTCCCAGACGTTTCACAGGCATTGTGGTCGACATCCTCACTTAATATTGCCATTTTCACCGCCAAGCTACAATCCGTCAGAGGGGCAAGACGAGCTATGGGCATCATTTCAACTGATATAGTAAAGGACTTCGGACAAAGCACATCGAAGCAGGCCTCTGACAACGCAACGAAGTTGCAAAAACAAGATTAGCCCGCTTCTATATTCACATTTGTTTTACCAAGCTCATAAACTTGACATTCGGAATTACGCATTGGAAGTAAGCTATTTATTGGTATCATTCAACATTGATCAATCTGGATTGGGGTTTTGTTTTTTTATTGAGTACAAATAGAATTTCGGAAGGAGTGTATTAGCCCTTTTTATATAGTGTTGTATAGATAGATATTCAACTTTTAATGGTGTCTGCTGTTTGACAAATAGAAGCTCATCCCTTTTCCATCAGAACTAGAGAAGGATTTCTCACAAACTGGGTCAATCTGAACGTCATAGCAAAATCAGAACAGTTGCTGAGCAAGCGGACTTTACTATCATCTAAAAATCTCTTTATCAGGCATTTACATACGAATGGAAAATGACATTACGGAGTTTGTATCTTTAAAATTATCGGGACCATATTGCACTTGGTTTATTCAACTTCCTTGATTTTCATGTTCTAATTGATTTCTTGATTTCCAGCATGACAGATATAATCTTGTTTATATGTTATTAATTTTTTTCCTGTATGATCTCTCATCATTTGTCTTTCCCATGTGTTTATTTCATAAACAGTTTGAATACTTGCAGAAAGACATGAGTTCAACTGGGCATGGTTGTATCACCGTCGATCGCCCTGATGAGTCATCTGACCAAGTGTGGAGCATTTTAGCAGAGGTATGTCGTAAAGCAAATGGAACAAAAGTTCTACCCTCTATCTTCCAAGGAGCAACTGATGCCCGTTTTGTGAGACGCGCCCATTTAATAAATCCCAAAATAGCAAAACCCGGAAGAGCCCTTGGATTTTCGCCAATGAGGCGGACTAAGGTATGCTTTTTTATATTTATAGTGCTCGTCGGTGCAATGTTCAGAAGTAAACTCACTCTCATCTTTTATGCAAATCGTCATGGTCCTGGCCCTGCATAAAGTTAACCTTTAAAATCAGCCTTTCCTTCTATGGCTAGCTCCTCATTCAGAGCTGGTATATCTAACGTGCTTCTTTAAGCTCTTGCTCCTTAGAAGTTGTTTGACCTTGTTTTCGCAACTTGATCATATTGACAAGATGACCTAAAGGAACGCATCTTGTCCGGAGTCCATAGTATGCATGATAATTTCTAGAGTCGGACCGTGGACTTGGTACATTCCCAGAGGTTTCGTCAAGATCGTCAGTGAGCCTTGCCATTCTTACCACCATACTACAACTCGTCAAAGAGACAAGTGAAGTGGATCTTTTGACAAAATGTGTGCTAAACAGTTAGCAAGTCTCTCTTACTCGCTTGGGCTATTCACCTATCATATATCCTCGTATCACGCCTTCAATATTACAATTTCTTATTTGTTAATCTAGACCTATTTGAAATCTATTCACACTCCCCACTGGTTTCCTCATCCCTCCCATTGTCCCGGGAGTGATGATATAAGGCTGCAGTTTAGTCCGCAATCCTTTCTATTCGGTTCCTATTAGAGTCCCTTCCGTAGGATACTTCCCTTTTCTGCCTGATCTAGTGATCTCACCCCATCGCTGCCACCGTATCGGTGCTACTCAAGGAGTTCTACACTTTGTCTTAATCCTTTGATAGCACGTATACATCAGCCTTACTGAGCAAGTCCCTAAAGTCTGGATTCTTATTTGCCATGGCAACCTAACTTAACGCTGCAGATTCCCGTTTTGCTATGCGTCATATGCACCGAGTAAATTTCGTGGTTAAGCCTTTACGTCATGGGCCACGTCTATGAGGAAACTTATCTACTATCCAATACCGTTTCTTTCGCTCTTCTATGACATTGTATTGCGTGCCAACCCCAAATGTGATAATTCTACTTGATTTGAATAGGCTCACTATAGACGTCTTCTTTTGTTTTCCGATTGTTCCTAATTGGTCTCCTTGTGATTTCTTTTCCTAAAATTAAAAGTTTTAGCATTGTCCAGTCGTCTTCTTTATGCTGATATTGCTGTTCCCTTATCTTCCCCGAGTTTGTTTAGGCAGTATACAATGTTTTCGCTAATCCTGCCTTCTTCAAGTTTCATTCTGTTAATTGGGTTCCTTTCAATCAGGATATCAATGGCTTCTCATATCTTACGTTTTCAGCATTTCTGTCGATTTCCACTCGATTTCGTGTCCATTTCGTGCAATGTGTTCCGCTATTTCAGATCTTTCAATGCCCATGTTTCTGCAGAGTCTTTGGTGTTCTTTGATTCGTAGGCTGATTTTTCTTTCTGTTTCACCAATATACTTCTGCTCACAGTTGCGGTATTTGTAGTTATAGACTCCCGAGCAATCCAGTTTGTCAACCTTCTCGTGTTGCATCGGAAAGTTGTGAAGAGTGTTGTCTTTTCTTTTGTTGTTACTTTGATATTCCATTTTCTTAGCAATGTTGCAATTTCTGGCTCATTTTACAGGAGTACAAACATATCCACTTAGCAGGAAGACCTAGAGGAATGCACCTTGTTCGAAGTCCATAGTATGCATGATAATTTTCAGAGTCGGACCGTAAACTTGGTACATTCCGAGACGTTTCGCTGGCATCGTAGTCAGCATCTTCAATGAGCCTTGCCATTTTTGGCACAACACCTCAACTTGTCAAAGATACAAGTGAAGTTGATCCTCTGACCAAATGTGTGCTAAACAGTTGTGGTATCTCTTCTTCTTTCCTGGGCTATTCACCTATCCTATATCCTCATCCTTCCCACTGTTCCGGTAATGTTGATTCAAGGCTGCAGTTTAATCCGCAATTCTCTCATCTAGGCTCCTATCAGAGTCCCCTCTTGTTCCTAACTCTAACCAAAGACTTCAGAAACATGGACACTATCTATTGTCGACTTGAATTTGGTAGATACTAGATAACCTAGCTATAATTCCTTGGTGTTAGAAGGCCTCGACTAATTCACCAATGAAAGTAGTTAAAAAAATTTGAGTGTTTTCTTGGGCGTTCTAGGAAAAAGGTCTATTAAATATAAACTTGGGTTTTAAAGGCTGAAATTAGATTTTCCATACATTGAAATGAGTAGAACTCACGATGACATAGAATTTAACTTATAATGGCTTCAAAAAGGCTTAGCTTTTCCTAACGGGATTGTAAGTTCAGACTTGCCTAGATTTCATCCTCATCCCCAACGTGATTTGACACTAGGTTGCGTGGGATAAGGGTGCCTCACGTTGACAATGCCTTTCTTTTGTCTCACTTAGTCTAGACCAGTGGCTCCCAAACTTTTCCTATTTGCGGCGCCCTTTTTCAATTAAATTTTTTCCATGGCGCCCTAACCTAGGCATGACTATTCGTAAGTAAGAAATAAAAATAAATAAAACTAGTGTATCTTTATTTTTTATACTTTATTAATATTAAATTAATATTTACTAATTAATGTGATGGATGAGCCTGCAAATCATTACATCTTTTCTCAAATTGAAGCTTTTACAATATTTCGCGGCGCCCCTGTAAAGTGGATGCGGCTCCCCGGGGTGCCGCAGCGCACAGTTTGGGAATCACTGGTCTAGACTATCGATTATGAACTGCAGTTTCGACCTCGCCTAGGTCTCATCAGTCCCCATAACGGGATACAATGAAAGTTCGTGAGCACCGTCACGACTTAACCAATCGACCACAAAGTCAATGGCGCTAATTGGTCACAGGGAAGGCGTGGTATTGAATACAAGCCAGGCCTCTTCCAAATCATATTTATAGTGAGATTGGCGATTATGCAACTATGTACTTGACATTGCAATCCATGACATTGCTTATTTCTGGTATAAGTTGATTTTAAGACTCAGTAATTCTTGAATAATAACATAGACACTCAAGCTCGCTTAAGGTAATTTAAAGACTGATAGTTAATTTTTCCACAATGATATGAGAATTTTAACTTTAATTGCCTCTAAAAAGACTATTAGATCCAAGTTCGATTGCAAAATCGTCTTCTTCAGGGTTAAAATGAGGTATATTCGCAGTTGATTTAGCGTCAATTACTTTATCCTCGAAAATTAGAATTAAATGCGAGTTGCTTTTTTTGCAAAGCTAGTTTTTGGTGAACAAACGAAAACCTAATATAATTATGGAGATTTGTTCAATCTCCGTTAAAATTACTTTTACATCCTAAAATTATAAGTAAATTTCTCTTGTACGATTTGGATTTCATTAGCAGGTTTCACCACCAAATTTTTTTATATTAAACTGATTCAGCATTTATACGCGCTTTCAGGTTTTGCTACATGATCACGATGAATGCCTTCATAAGGATGAATTCTTGTCCGGATGCTCTCTATACACAGAACTCCTCTTTCAATTTGCAGAGAACGATTCATATTAACTTCTTTCAATTAGCATATTAACTCTATAACTAGCTATGACTTGCTTTCTTTAATGTTTATGATTATACGAAATTTTAATACTTAAAAAAATTAATGGTTATTCTTGAAATTGGTTGGAATGAATTCGTAAAATGATCTCACCAGCCACCGGATGTGGATTGCTTCCGAGTAAAGCTAAGTTAATTGTGCGAAGAAATCCTCGGACCACCATCCTGCCACGTATGAACCCACGCTAAGCTTTCTTCTGTACCGTCACAGATATCATTAGAGCAAGAATCCATACTTTACGAAATAGGACAAAGACATAGTAAACCAAGAGAGAAAATGTCCGGCTGCAAGCCTAGTCAAATTGTTTATAACCGAACCTTAAGATACTAATCAGGCATTTCATGATTTTATTAGCTACTGCCAACTTACTTGAAATGCATACTGATGAGTGAGCCGGAAGTGGATTCAGTGTCATTTGTTTCCTTACAAATTACAATAGCGTAAGATCCTCTCATGCCGAGTCATGCTTGGGTATATATTATTGTTTGTGTCTGCAATATTTATTTCATGTGAAGTGTGATAATCCTAGTTGGACTCGAAGCTAATCCAGCCTCTTATTCAGAGGCTCTTCCTGGTCTTCCTCCCCTTAAGCCTATTCAGCAACCACAAATGGTTCCTACTCATTTTTCTACACTCGTTCCTCCTATTCGTAACTTTGACCATTTTGTGAATTTCTATAAACTTCGCTGCTTCCTTATTGGTTTCTTAGTTAATCATACATATAGCATAAAATAAGTGTTATGAAATCACTAATACTAAGAAGTCTGCGACAAGTAAACATAAACCATAGGGACTAAGGGATCGGTAAATTTAAGGATATATTCGAAGGTATGAAGATCAAGATGGTGTGGTCGCAGTCTCCTTTCGTTGTATCAAGGCTGTTTGACCTTGTTTTCGCAACTTGGCCATATTAGTAGGAAGACTTAGAGGGACGCACCTAGTCCGGATCATTTCCAAAGTCGGATCGTGGACGTGGTACATTCCCAGATGTTTCGCTAGCATCGTCAATGAGTCTCGTCATTCTTAGAACCACAGCAACTTGTCAAGAAGACAAGTGAAGCCGATCCTTTCACCAAACGTGAGCTAAACAGTTGTGGTATCTCCCCTTCTACTCTGGGCTATTTACATTTCCTATATCCTCCTATCACACCTGCACTCCTACAATTTTTTTACTGTGCTTATTGAGATGTATTGTGGTGTGCTCCTTTGAGCGGCATTCATGAAAACAATTTACACTCCACGCTGCCCCGTAAGATCCGTCTTCTCTCTCCCTGGTTCTCGCATTTCACTCGACCCCTGCCACCCATGTGTACTACTCGAGGCGTTATTCGCCCTCCTTTGCGTCTGGGTGACTAATTTGAATTTAAGCCTCTGAGTAAGTCTCATGGTCACGCTTTTGCTACATAGGCCACATCTATAGTAAAAATAGACCTACTGTCAGGCAACTAGCTCCCATCGCCGCCGCGGCTATCTTGTTTCTATCTCTAATACCAAGTCTGACTTCCCATGCCCTAGTCTCTTGTGTACAAACCCACAAACGTTGTGGTTCAACATTGAACCTAATCAAAGCAA